GGGGGGGGGCAAGGGGACCATTGCTATATTATGGGCTCAGCTCTCGAGCGGTTATTTAGCACACAACAAGCAAGTATAGTTTCTTTTTATTCATTTTTCCTTTTTTTTTTCTCGGGTCCCTTTTCGGTGCTAATCCTCTCCCTCTGAGACACACACTTCTGTGCCGTAAATTGTAATAGGGCAGGTGGCCGGAGGTCAGTCGTGGGTGGTGGCAAGCAAACAACTTCCTGCAACGTCCTGGTTGTGGGCAGAGAAGGAAGTGGTTGGTGGCAGTCTACATCGAGATGGATCAAGGGAAGAGACCTCTCCACCCCCCTCCATCTCCTCCCCCAAAATACTGAGGCAGGCCGTTAGGAGCGAGGCAACATTACTTCTCGACCAAGTACGGAGGAATACTTGATGGTGATTCATTACGGAGTATTTCATCAAAAGATGTCTTGAGTCGGGTAGGCTTGAAAGCCACACGGACCCCTGTAAAATGATCATTATGATAATGATAATAATAGTAAAGAGATAGGATAGGATTTAAGAAGAGATGTTGAAAGATGAATACTAAAATACTCAAAGGGAAAATCCCTGGGGATAACGGAGTAAAGAACCAGCCGTCAATGTCAGGAACAATCGGCGTCCACAGAGGGACGGAGGATGGGGCGCCCCGTGCGGGGCCTCTCCCTCTTTTCTCTCTACTGCTAGCAGTAATAATAATATTGATGATTGATACTGAGCACTCTGCCCTTTTATTTCCCGGGGATTTTTTCCTTCTGCAAGAGCACGGTCTTTTTCTTTTTCTTGACAAGGACGGGGTTCCCTTACAGATGCAGTAATATAGACAAGTCACTAGGTATGTATTAGTAGTAGTAGTAGTAGTAGTAGTAGTACTTGTACGAGTTACACTTGATATCCAGCCCCAGCCCCTCCGCCCTCCCCTCGTTGAAAGGACACGATTCAAGGGCTGAAGCCAAACACGACTGATCATATATGAACCTGCATATCGGGGGGTTAGGACCCCCTTTCCCCTCCCAACCCCAAAAGAAAAGGGCAGGCAGATCAAGGAGATCAAGGAGCGGTTCATCGGACAGATCAATGAAAAGCAAGGCAAACAGAACCCTGACGCCTGAAGGAAGAGAATGGTCCATGATCAGCATCGAATGCAATTTCACATTGGGGGGGGGATAACAGTGGTATCAAATCACGAATGAATCACCAGGATTCGAGTAATACTTGTAAGAGATGATGAGGTCAAAAAGCAAGTATTGTAAGAAAGAAAAAGAAACTTCTCCCTAACATACATGTCTGCACAGTGTGTCGCGTCCATCTCTCTCGCCCTCTCTCTGTCTCTCCCTCTCTCGCCCTCTCTCTCCCCCTCTCTCTCTCTCGCACACACACATCATCATCAACAGATGTGTGGCTTGGACTGACACGACGGATGGCGGTGTGTGTAGGTATGTTCCATCCACATGGCATGAAATCATGGGCTCGCTCACACGCACACACACGCACACACTACATTTTATTAGATATATCGATATATATTATATCTACCTGTAACCAAAACAGAATAAATGAGCTATAGATGAAAGGGAAAAAAAGGGAAATCAGGAGAAAAAGGGTCTCTCTCCCCCCCCCCCCCCCCCCCCCCCTCCACGCATCACCACGCCATCTCGGCGCCTGCAACAAGGGTGCTGGTGCTGTAGATCCCTTGCGCCCATCTGGCCGCCCTGCAGTCGCGCTACCTGCGGTCAGTGGACGACAGCCATGCAAGAGAATACTATACGTCGAGAGCTCTGAGAGGAAGAAAAAAAGAAAAGAAGAAGAAAAAGTAATTCACCCTAGACGGGAATCGGCGGGCCGAGTTGTGGCCTTGTACCAGCCCCTTCTATACAATGCTGCCTACTAGATGTACGAGTAGAAGTAATAGTATCTCTTTCTCCCTTGTTCTGCTGGTGATGCGGTAGCAGTATTACTGCTACTACACACGTGATGGTAGTCCTGGTAGCAATAGTATTAGCATTGATACTACGGGTATAGGATTATCAGAGCGTCGTAACAGGATTTAAACATGAGATGCACGTGTGTGTCTGTCCGTACCTTTCGTCTCATATATTACACCTACTAATCATCACCATCTTCCTCCGCCAACACTCATATCAACACACGGCACACGACAGCCTCCACCTCAGCCATGAGGTCTTATCCATCTCTCACTATCTCTTATTTACTTCTTCTACGAGAAGAAACATATGAAGAAAGACACACATGATGCCACTTACCCCATGCAATCCACGTATTTAGTATACATAGCAGTACTGCTAGCATGAGCCATGCATCCACGTATCACTACTTGTACATTGACAGAATATGCACGCACACATATTTCTTCTTTCCTTCATTGAATAGCGGTTACCAACTCGTAAACGAGATGTACAGGAAAAAAGAAAGGAAAGGAAGAGAAAAGAAAAGAAAACACCCTTTCTAGCGGTTTATTCCGTTGCCGTCATCTCGCTTCCCCCCCCCCCCTTGATCCCTTCCTTTCCCTCTCTCCCTCCCTCCCTCCGGTATGCAAGTAATATAGGTTGTAGTAGTTAGATTGTGTCTGTGTGTGTGTGTGTGTGTGTGTGTATGGGTGAAAGCAAGAGAGAGAGAGAAAGCAAACCTCTCCCCGGAAACGACAACAAGAGGAGGGGGGGAGAGGAAAACAAAAGATGACTAACGCCAACAAGAGATGACCCTCTCGTATAACTGTCACCACGGGATTTCGTGAGAGAACAAAACAAAACATAGGTCCCGACGTTATCCCGGATAGCCATGCTTCCCCCATTCGTCACAATCCAAAAGACAAGACAGAAACAACCAAAAAGGGATCACTACTCCACTGGGTTTTCTTCTTTCTTTCTTTTTTTTGTGACATCTCTGTATATATATATATATATATATGTGTGTGTGTGTGTATGTGTATTTCTTCTTTTCTGCCTCTTCTACTTCTTCTTCCTCTTAAGACCAAACATCCTCCTGTATGGTAGCAATTCAGGTCAGCTGGCTGTTTCATATAACGTGAGGTGGAAAGAAGGGGGGCCGAGTGAGAGGTCGTTGGGTGAGAATGCGGGGAAGATCGTATAGAACAGCAGACAGTCGGGTTGAAAGAGTAGTGTGGAGGAAGGGGAGAAGGACACAGGGAGATGCGGGAAGATGCAGGAGGGAGAGTAGACCGACGTACCTGGTACTGGTTAGACGACCTCATCGTCTTGACAACCTCCTCACCCTTGGCCTCGGTCACACCGCGACCCTCGGCGATGATCTGCGCCAGGACGGCATTCACCTCGCGGGCCATGTTGGCGGCGTCACCGCAGACGTAGAAGAAGGCCTTTTGCGAGAGCAGCTCGAAGACCTCCTCGGAGCGCTCCTTGAGGCGGTGCTGGACGTAGACCTTCTCGGGGCCCTCTCTCGAAAAGGCCGTGATGAGCTCGAACTTGTCGCCCAGGGCCTCCTTGTACTCGTCCCACTCGCCGGAGTAGAGGAAGTCCTCGGTCGACTTGCGGCAGCCAAAGAAGAGCAGCGTGCGTCCGACGGCGGTGCCCTCCCTGGCGAGCTTGGCGCGCTCCTGGACGAATCCGCGGAAGGGGGCGACGCCGGTGCCGGGACCGACCATGATGATGGGCTTGGTGGGGTCCGAGGGGAGCTTGAAGTTGGAGTGGCGGACGTGGACGGGGACGTGGATGCCGTCGTACTTGTTGCGGGGACCGGTGATCTCGTACGTCTTCCCGTAGGGTTCCGGGTCGGCGTCGCCGTTCTGCTTCTGCTTGAGCGCGAGGAGGTAGTTGGTGGCGACGCCGCGGAAGGACCGGCCGCTGCCCTTGATCTCCTGGCTCTCGACCACGGCCGTGATGGAGATGCTCTTGGGCTGGCTGAGGGAGGAGGACGAGATGGAGTAGTAGCGCGGCTGGAGCTTGGTGATGCCCTCGATAAAGGCCGAGAAGGGGATGGCCGACCACTTCTGGCCGCCGCTGACGGCCGACAGGAGACCGGCGATGTTGTAGAACTGGGGCGTCGTCTGGTCGTGGAAGTAGTCCTTGTCGCTGCCGAGCTTGGTCATCTCCGCCTTGGCCTCGGGCGTGGGGGCAAAGGCGGCGAGGGTGGAGACGAACTGGCGGGACACTGGCGCGCATATCTCCATGTGGTAGCGGACGATGGCGTCGTACGTGGTGGGCGTGGGGAAGGGGACCTTGGCAGTGGGTTCGAGGGCCTTGACGCTGATGACGTCGTTGCGCTTGTCCGACAGGTCGAGGATCTCCAGGAAGCGGTCGACCTCGTCACCAGGGTTTGTGGGCCAGACGGCAATGTGATCACCGGTCTGGTAGGACAGGTTGGACCCCGAGATGTCCACCTCGAGGTGCAGGCAGTTACGGTCCTTGACGGAGAAGAGCTCGCGGGACTCGGTGATGGGGGCAATGTACGGGTTGTGGGCGTTGAAGGGACCACGGGCAGCGCCCTCGAGGTGGTGCTTGTTGGGCTCGCCGAGGTAGACCTCGGGGGAGTCGACGTCGAGGTTGTCGCGGTGCATGATGGAGAAGACGGGCTCGTAGACGGCCTCGCGCTCCTGCAGGCCCATCTTCTCGGCGACGGCAGCCCACATGGGCTCCTTCCAGGAGAGGAAGTCCTCCTCCATGGTCCCGGCGCCGTCGTCACCCTCGCCAGCCTCGCCGATGCGGTTGGCGCCAAGGCTCTGCAGGGTCTGGTCGATCTTGCGGACCATCAGGTTGTAGTGCTCGTAGGTGTTGTTTCCGAGACCGAAGGCGACGTAGTTGAAGTTGGACAGTGGCGGGTCGTTGCCCTCGGAGAAGGACACGTCCTCGCCCGTGACGAACTCGTAGAACTCGGCGGCGTTGTCGGTCGGCTCGCCCTCGCCGTACGTGGCCAGGACGAAGAAGGCGATCTTGTCCTCGGGGAAGGCGTCGAGGTTCTCGAAGTCGTACTCCTCCAGGTCGGCAACCATGGTCTCCAGGCCGAAGCGGCTCTTGCCCTCCTTGGCGAGGCGAGAGGCGTAGTCCTCGGCCGTTCCAGTCTGGGATCCGTAGAAGATGACGCAGTTCTTGCCTGTCTCCTCCATCTTGGCGAGTATGTCCCTGGAGCTTCCGGCCTTGGCGCCGGCCGCACCGGCCAGGGGGTTGGCATAGGGGTCCTTGACGACGGCCCAGTACGTGCCCTTTGTGAAGTAGGCGACGGTACCGAGCAGGATGGCCCCGAGGACGATAATGTCCAGAGTGTCGAGTCCAGCCATGGTCAGAGAGCGTGCGCGTGCGGGGGGGAGGGCAGAATCACAGAAAAGCAGAGAGAGAGGGGTGAAGCACTATCGTTGGCACCGATAGGCTGGATCAGTAGCAGACGACAAGGGCGGGCAGCAACAGGCTGGCTATATGAAAGCGCCAACAAGACAGAACCTGTCAACTGTCGTCTCCTTTCGCTTTTCACGAGAGAAAAGCGAGAAAAAAAGAAAGAAGAAGAAGCAAGAGAGAGATACTCTGTCAGGCGATGCTGCCAACGGCAAAGTACATAAAGGAAGGGCTTGGGAGAGGGGGACAGGGAGGGACCAAATGGTATTATTATGGCAATAGTACTTTTTAGTAGTGCTGGCAGTAGTTCCGCGCCGGGGGCTAGGGTGCCCCAGCTCAGCAGGTGCTCAGCAGGTAGGTCCGGGGCTTTTGGCGGCTTCTGGGGGGAGGGTTGGCAGGAGAGAGGAGAAAGAAAGCCAAAGCAAGGTAGAGAGTAAGCGGTTCCAAGCCTGCTTGCTCGGTCTGCAGGCTGTGGGCTGTGGGCTGTGGGCTGTGGGCTGTGGGCTGTGGGTCTCAAGGGCGCTCCGAATACGCAAGGTCCGCGAGTTGGAGAGACAAGTTCTAATTGAATCGCGCGATAACTTCTCTCTACCAGGTTGCCAGATGCCAGTAGCATCCACTACTGCTCGGTAGCCCGAGTAATGCGGGTAAAGGGCGAGAAAGGCAATGTTGTTCGAGAGACATCGCGTACGACTACGGAGTAATACTCTACAGATCCTCTAAGCTCTAGCAGCACTCATCTAGCCCTGACAGCCCGCGCCACATATCACCACTGCATGTACTGTACAGATTACAAGTGTGCTTACCACTGATATTACTAAATACCCCCAGTATTTACGGAGCAGCATGCGCACACGCAAAGACCAATATGAACGATCCCCCTTCGTTGATTGATTGCCCCTCCCCGGCTTCGGTCCCGGGTTTTACTAAATTCAGTGTTATCGGCTCATGCAGGTCAGAGGCCTACTGTGAGTGCCGATAGCTGCTCGTACTCGTATACCGACCGATGCCCGAGGCCGTGTCCTGCTTATTTCACGTAATAATGTAACAGCTGTGGATTTTTCTCTCTTCTCCCTGCAAAACGCGACACTCACTACTCATGCGACCATGGAGTGCTCTGTAGTGGTAACCTATCAATATACTGACTGGACGTGCCAGATACTATTGTGCTGCGAGTAGCCCATTCTCCCTGTCTCTATCGCCTCTCTGTACTCGGTATCATTATAATGCTACTACTACTACTCTGTAGCCGCTACTAAAATAAAAACAAAAAGGTATTGTCATGACTACAATTTCCACAGACTAGGTTACCTTTAAGGCTTTGCCCACTCTTGCCCGTCGGCTCTGCCGACGTCGCACAAGGGCCCGAGGCCACGTTGCCGGATTGGCTTACAGGCCAGTTGATACTTTAAAAGCAAGATATTGATTACTGTGCACCTACACGGGTACAAGTGTGTATCGCAATATCCGTAAGGCATGCGATGATGGTGCACGTAGTCTGTAGTAGCCGCTTTTCGGTTTTTTGACCTACGTATACTATGTCTTCCTCACGAACACTATCCGCACCTCCCCTTTTGTTTATTTGTTTATTTTCGGCTCAGCAGGCATTGCTAGGAAAGACTGTGTTCATTCCCTACTAAAACTGGTCGGTATACGTAGTACATTAGCGGTAATGAACAGCGTTCTTCTGCCACGACGATTGCCGTAGATGGGTGGAACATTGGTCTCATGTATTCACTCTCTACGCATACACACTGCGCACCACCATTGATCGATACGAATACGAAAGTCCGCTCTCACGTCTATTACGCACGTCCGGGTCCAGCAAGCTGTCCGATTTGCTCCGCTGGAGGAGCGGCCCATCCGATAATATCTTATGCGAGGCTTGAGCCCCTGTCCGCCCACCGTCACACACAGCAAAGCGCACGGGCTCGGAAAGAAGGACAGATAGCCTCCGTTCCCACCTACGCATACACTGAGCGAAGCGGTGCCAGTGTTCCATTCACCCCGTGGGTCATCTCGGATATGCCGCGGTGAGTTTYTCTTTTTTTTTTTTTTTTTTTTGCTTTTTAATACATCATCTATCAATGATCATGTAGATATGAGGGGGCATACCCTGATATAGGACATGGCCCTCCAGCCAGCCTCGCTGGGGGTCCGCTTCGTTGAAAGTCTACGCGTCGTGCTATTCCGTCACCCGTGGTGTCTGTCTATTGCTCCTTTACATACGAATGGGCAGTCACTCCCGAATTAACCCTGAGGGTCTCTCTCGTCGGTATGGCGCATCTACTTGCAGGTGCCATCATCGCAGGTGCGTTTGCCTGTCGTGGATAAAGATACAACAACAGCATTGTCTGCCCAGCTTCAACAAGTGAGGTATCGCGGCCTACCCTGCGACCCAGAGTACGATGTGTGGTACGCGGGAACGTCGGAAAGCTAATACTACGCCGTGATATCAACAACAGTCCCGCTTCGGCAGATGGATACTTACTGTAGACATGGGTTCGTCCTGAACGCAAAGTGGCATTGACAACTACTAGTTCTACGACGTAGCACCCCGTACTGAGTTTGAGAGTGTACGTTTCGGATGTGACGTATGTTGTACTGCTCGGTACTTGGCATGAGGAGATACATGTATATACGTGTATAGTTAGTTGCGCGCGGACGAGAACATGCGACGACCACATTAGCCATGATGGCATGGTCGGTGCTACCTACAGGTATGAATGCTCAGCTGCTATAACCTTCCATTGAGAGAAAGCAGAGAGGTATGAGTACGACCGCGCAGGATTCGGCCAACCGCTCGGTATCGGGTTCGGTATAGTGTTCGGACTCAAATCCAGCCTGTCCCTGGAATACCACGGCACGTACGGGTCTGTGTCGGTATCGTACCGATTGATTCCTTTTCATCTTCACCTCGATAAGCACACAAGATTTTTTTCTTCTTGTCGATATTTTGATATAGCTATCGGCATCGTACGAGCATTTGACATGTCTGGTATCACTACATATATAGGCAGTGCGCTCTCCTATTCCGCTTTCGTAGCCTGAGGATAAGACCATGATGCTTTCTCGTACGAGCCACGAGGTTGATGACGCTGATCGACCCTGGCAAGACAGACGCATGTCATCACAATGTCGACATGGCCTTCCCAATCCACAGCTGGCAGGGCACTTTCCTCGCAGTTGCCGATTGAGCTGGTGCTAGCGCGTTCATCGTGCCCATCCGACACATGAGCGTGCCATCCATAAGAGTTGTAGGATGGAGGCCAATGAGGGGGAGGGGGCTTTCTGTACTGGCAACAGCTCAGTGCTGCTCCTAGGCTCTAGGGGGGCGCATCACTCGTTGATATCAACGCCGACAGTTAATATCGCTCTCGATACCGGAGGTGCTGATGGAGGGCCCTACCCTCTACGAGTACGAGCACTAATATTGCGTAGGTTGTGGACGGCCGTACAGCTGAGCTGTATTACCATACAAGGGGCTTGGGCTCTCCGCGCCAGCTCTGAGCCCCGCCGTCCTTGCAGTTGCGCCACAGCCACTTTCTATTACAGAGTACCAGTGCCCGAACTACAACAGTAGGGGACGGGACTGACTCTCCAAAACTGAACTGGTCGTCGTCTCGTCTCCAGCTCGTGGGGCGTTATTGCTGCGAATGGCTTGCATGTAGCCGACAACAACAATAGCAACGAGCAATCAAGCACCTAACAGTACCGTACATCGTCGCCTAAATCTTCGTATATACCTGTACGCGTACAACCCGAGACGTCACCACGCCCCGAAACCGCCGCTGTCAACCTCCCGTCGTCGTGCTGCCGGATCATACGCCCTCGCGTCTCGGGATTGGTGTGATGGTGTGATATCGTCACTACACCACCGAGGAGACTAGCCCGCATCTGCCTAGCCATCCATCCCACCACGCACCATACTCGTACACGACTTGAGAGTGCGCAGCAACCTCTCTACGCGCACGCGCACGTTCCCTGCTTCTATCGGTGCCCTTGCGCTCCCACGCATGCGCATGGCACTTTGCTTGTACGAGTACTGGATACCTAGAGGATGAGGGAAGTGGGGATCGGCACAGCTCGAAATGGGTGAGTTCTGCTGCTTTGCTATCAAACACCTCTTTTTTTTCTTCATTTCTTTTTCTTTCCTTGGGTACACGCCACGCTCAAAAGACTCAACTCTGTTGGCTCATGGGAATGACCCTTCCGCTCGCTCGCTCGTTTCAGCATCCGTAACTACCCACCTCCCCGCTGACATATTGTGTGTGTGTGCGTGTGTGTGCGTGTGTGCGCGTGTGACGCATCAGTCCCTCCGCAGTCCTTGCCGGACCACTTGCAGGCCCCGTTCAAATTCCCCCCCCGGACCGTGTCGACGCTCGATGAGGAGGATGAGGACGCCGACAACACCAGCCAAGCCGACTGTCAGAGAACCGTACGACCCGTCCCATCGCTCGATTCAAAATCGACCCGCCGACCCGCACACTCCCGAGAATCGTCTTCCGAGAAGAACTGCTCGCAGCCGGGCTCGTCCATTGCCTCTCCCCGTGTGCCTGCCCCCCATTCCCGCACAGTTGGGGGAGAGCGTGTCGTCGACCCCAAGAACGCCGCCGCCTACGGGCACCATCGCCAGACCTCCATCGTCCACGGGATACAGCACTCGAGAAATGCGAGCCTAGCTAGCGCCACATCGAGTCCTCTCAGCCCCCAACTCATCGCAGCTGCGGGGACTGCCGCTTCCCATGAGAGACAGGACAACAGCCCACACACCGCTTCTGCTCCCCGACCAGACGCCGAACTTGCCCCTCCTCGCTCTCAGCAGAATATGAAAGGCCCTGTCGGCTCCAATGGCTTCCCTCCCGAGAGGACCTCCTCGGCCGGCGACGTGGCCCTCCACGGGACTGTCCAGCGGAGGCTGGAGCGGAGGCAGAGCAAACATAGACGTGACCATTCACATCACCCATCCGCCGCACCGAGAAATTCCAAGGATGACCAGAAGACGGTGGGCGAGTACGCCCTACATGTCTTGTTTACATCGGTATGTTGCGTTACCTTGACGCCTACCCGACCCCCTGCTCGCACACCCTTCACGTTGCCGAATGCTGACGTGCTGCAAAACACACAGTTCATCGCACAAGCCGAGGAGAAGCTGAGCGAGTGTATCACGGTTCCCTTCGATCCTGAGCCCAATATCGAACGAATATGTGGCCCTGGCGTCGACCCGGCCTTCGACCAGCTGATCGTGGCTCTGGGCCATATAGCAAGCCCCAAGCCTAAAGCGCTGATCGATTCCATGATGTTGTGGAGGAAGAGCAAGAGCGACTTGGCAACCGAGGCCCGCAACCAGGTCCAGCGCAGCGGCCCGCCAGGCGGCCCGTTGACACGGAGAAACACGGAGCCCGTCCAAGCCGGTCTCCCAGGCTCCGGCCCTGCAGACCCTGCGCCCAACGCCGCCGCCGCGTCGGCCAAGCAGGAGTATGTGGCCCAAGCTGAGCGCCGGTCAACAGTTTCTATCTACATCCTCTGCCGAGTCTTGATGGAGGTCATATGCCAGAGCGATCTGCAGTCTATCACGGCCGAGATGGAAGACAAACTGGAGAGTATCATCTTTGGACAGCTGAAGATTGCCGACCCGGAGCAGCTCGTGGTATCGCCCCTCAAGCTGGCCAACTGGAACCTGTTCTCCCAGCTGCTGGGACACATGAGCGAGATCAACTTCATTCCCGTCACACGCCGCTTCATCGAGGATATCGAGAGCTCCCTTCAGGACCGAATCAACAAGAGCCCAACATCTGCGACGGGTGGGCGTGACACCGACGGCAAGCTGGAACTTGTCCTCGGGGGGATGAAGCATCTGAGAATGAAGATTGCTCCCGAGGATGCCTGGGAGCGGTCCTGCGACTTCCTCGTCTCTCTCGGACGCCTGCTGAGCAAGTCGCACGGCCAGCGTGTCAAGTGGGCTTTCTGCCAGGTCATCGACATGCTGATTCTGCCTATTGCCTCGACGGCCAGCAACAGCCACCTGATGCATCCAAAATGGTCAGAGGCCCTCTCGGCCATAAGCCCACGCCTCTCTCAGCTGTTCACCAAGCCCCGGCATTGGCCCGTCGCCTTCCCCCTGACGGCTACCATGCTCTGCGCATCCTCACCCGACACCTTCAGTGCCCGCTGGTATCAGCTGGTCATGTCTGCGCAGACAAAGGTCAAGGACCGTTCCACCAGGCCTCTGTGCCTCCAGGTCTTCTCCCGCCTGTTGTGGACATACCTGTACCGGACCAACGATAGCCCACAGAACGCTACCCGCAAGCTCGACGACATCCTGAGGCTCATCCTGCCTCCCCCCACGAAGCGCGGCATCGTTGCTTCCGACGTCTCCGTCACGGAGCCTCTTATCCAGATCATCCGCATCATCGGCTTCAAGTACCCCGAGTTCTGCTTCCGGAATGTCATCTTCCCCCTCATCGGCGCCGAGCTCTTTGCCAGCACCAAGGATCTCAAGGTCGAACAGTTGGACCCTGACAGGATCGTCGTCGGCATCCGGGCCTTCCTGTGCATCATGTCCGATCTCGAGAAGGGCGAGCAGGGTCGGCCCCCCTTGCCACAGGTATACGAGACCTCCTCCGTGCCCGAGCGGCTTCCGACCTCGCCCGCTGTGGGGTCGACCCGATTCAACATAAGCAACGTGAACAGCAACAGTACTGACGGTGCTCCCTCCATGAGGGTAGCCGAGGAGAACATCTCTCGGCCAGTCCTCACGCACGTCCTGACCGAGAGCGTCCGGGAATACTACGTCAAGTTCTGCGAGATTCTCGGCAAGATCACCATGATATGCGACAACACCTTTGGAGGTCAGGCGGCTCTAGACGAGAAGTTTGGTAGTCCGGGCCCCAAGACGCCCATGGCCGAGACCTTCAACTTCTCACGCCGTGATGAGCAGCAGAGCGCGTCGGACCAGAAACAGGCATTCTATGAGCTGTTGCATGTTGCGGTCCAGACCCTTCCCCGGTGCTTCTCGGCGGATTTACCCTTCAACTCCCTCATCAACCTGCTCTGCACCGGTACTGCCCACGTCCAGTCGAAGATTGCCGACTCATCGAGTAATTCTCTCAAGGCCATTGCCCGCCATTCCCACGCTGGAGGCGTCATTACCGGATTCTCACGCTTCATATTCAATTTCGACGACAGGTATGCCACCATGTCGGACGGCGGTATGCTCGGCCTGAGCCACATCGAGAACACGCTGCGTCTGTACGTGGAGCTGCTACAGATATGGATAGACGAGATTCGACAGAAGCTCAAGGATTCCGAGTCGGGTGACGCGGGCATGGGCGCCACCGGCAAGAGGGCCCTCAAGCTCGACCTGTCCAGCGTGCAGGCCGAGGTAGAGCAGGCCGAGGCCCACGGCCTCTTCTTCCTGTGCTCGCAGTCCCGCCGTGTGCGGTACCATGCCATCACTGTGCTGCGTTTGATTACCGAGTTCGACAAGGCGTTCAGCAAGGATGCCGCGGGCGAGGACACCTTCCGACTGATTGACATCCTGGAGAACGATGCCGACCAGATCATAAACTTCAACGACGACCACCTGTCCGTTGCGGAGCGGAGCAGGCTGCAGCGGGGCCTCAAGAACTCGGCATATGGCAGCATGGGCAACAAGGGTGCCATCGTGGAACTCTGCACCAGCGACGGGCCGTACGACAGCACATTGTGGTTCAAGATTTTCCCCAACCTCATCAGGATCGCTTACGAGAAATGCCCGTTTACCGTCACCATGTGCCGCGACCTCGTGTGCGACCGTACCCTGCAGATGTACAAGCCCATCGTGTTCCTCTCGGAACCCTCGCGCGGGCCGTACTACGGGGCGGACCCCAACTCGGCGCGGGCGGCGGCTCACTCGCCCACGGCACAGCCCGACGTCATGATTGAGCAGTGGAAGCTGTACCTCATCTTTGCATGCTCGACCCTAGCCGACCCGAGCAACACGACGTTCGACGCCTCTCACACGCGCAAGGCCTCCAAGGCGACGTCAAGGGACCGCACCGTGACGGCGAGGATGCTCTTCAAGTACCTGATTCCCCTCGTGTCGTCGTCGTCGGCCTCGGTGCGCGATGCAGTCGTCGTGGCCATGGGGTCCGTCAACATCCACATCTACCGCACGCTCCTCGAGGAGCTCCAGGGCCAGGTTTCGCGGTGCAACGACGAGGCTCGAGCGCGCATCCACCAGCGCACCAACAGCAGCCCGCGTAGGAACCGCAAGATAGACCTCCTGAGGACGGAGATCACCCATGTCTTCAAGCTCACGTCGCACTTCCTCAAGGAGCCCGAGATCTACCAGAATGACTTCTTCCTCACCACCCTGACGGCCTACAACAGGGACCTCAAGCTGTTCTTGATGGACGGAGAAGTCCAGATGGACTGGGAGTTTCAGAGGCTGCGTCGCCACTACTGCGGCCTGACCGAGGCCTTGTTTGACTGTATCAACAGGACGGGTGACCCGTCGCGCTGGATGACTTTCGAGTCCCGCAAGTCGGCCTTTTCCCTCATGGAGGACTGGTGCGGCTTCTCGCCCAACCACAACCAGATTCGCGCCCGGGAGGACACGATGCGTCAGTCCGTCATCGACCAGCAGGCGTCCGCAGAACGCGGCACCGTGTCGGCAGCCATGGAGATTGAGAAGCGGAACCTCAGGACGGCCGCGCTGAGCGCCATGGCCGCCCTGTGCGGCGGCCCCATCACCGTCACGACGGAGAGCGGGGCTACCCTCCAGTTTGATGTGCGTCGCATGCTGGCCTGGATCGAAGCCATCTTCAACTCGGGTAGCGACCGCATGAATTTGATTGGGAGGCGTGCGCTGCAGAACCTTGTCATGCACAACCAGGAGTACCCCTACCTCTTCAAGCACTGCATCGCGCGGTGCTACACGTCGGACAACCCTAAGATACTCGAGAGCTACTTTGCCGTCGCGACTCAGGTTATCCAGGACAACCCGGCCTACCCCTGCCCCTTCTGGAAGCTGCTTTCTCTGTGTCTGTTCGCCCTCGGGAACGACCAGAGCGACATCAGGTCAAAGTCGTCCAGCTTCCTGCGCACCCTCGAGAGCCGGCAGAACATCAACTCCAAGATCCAGGACTTTGACATCAGCATCGCCGATAAGACGCAGGCCGTCTACAAGCTGGCCCAGTTCGAGATCTCCAAGCGCTTGGCAAAGCAGTACACGGAGCTTGCCTTCCATGTCTTCTCGGAGTTCACGCTGTACTTCCGTGACCTCCAGACCGTGGCCCAGCGGACCATGGTCGCCGTCGTGCTGCCCTGGGTCCAGTCCATAGAGCTGAAGCTGGACCCCAACGGAGGACCGACGGCCGAATCGTATGTCCTCCTCGCCAACCTCCTGGAGCTCACCATCAAGTCCAGCGGGGCCCTCCACAACGAGGTGCAGGCCTTGTGGCAGGCCGTGGCAGCCGGGCCTCACCCGGGAAACGTCCGGCTCGTCATGGACTTTGTCATCCAGCTGTGCCTGGAGCGTCGCGAGCAGAATTTCGTCGAGTACGCCAAGCAGATTGTCGTATTCCTGTCGACGACCAACAGTGCTCCTGGCGCCCGGGTGATTGAGTTCCTCCTTATGCAGATCACCCCTAGGGGCATGGTGCCCAACGAGAGGAGGGACGTCATCCCTCCACCTGCAGACATCTCTCTGTACCCTTACTGTGCAGACCTGTCGGAGGTTCTCCCGGTCGGCACTAAGCAGGCCGGCTTCTCCTTGGGACAGCTGGCCATCATCCTGCTGGTCGACCTCATGGTCTCGCCCGTCCAGCTCGCTCCCGAGAACGTCCCGCTGCTTCTCCAGGTGGCGACGGTGCTCTGGGACCACTACATGCCGCTGGTGCAGGACCAGGCCCGTGAGATGTTGGTCCATCTCATCCACGAGTTGGTTGTCGCGCGCCTGGATGACCAGATCCCGGGTGCACGGAGGGAGTCTATCGAGAAGTTGATTGACCGCGTGCGACGTCACGATAACAGCGTCGTTTGGGGATACGAGGACAGCAATGGCAAGGTGGACGACCACGACAACAAGGTGCCCCCGAGCATGGAGTACCTGACGACGGAGATCGTCAGGACATTCGAGCCGACCTTCCCCGGGCTCAAGGAGCAGTGGAGCAGGCTGTCGCTGACTTGGGCCACATCGTGCCCCGTGAGGCACCTGGCCTGCCGTTCCTTCCAGGTATTCCGGTGCATCCTCACGTCGCTCGACCAGCACATGCTGGGCGATATGCTGGCCCGGCTATCCAACACGATTGCCGACGAGGACCCGGAGATCCAGTCCTTCTCCATGGAGATCCTCACCACACTCAAGGCTCTCATTGTCAAGCTGGAGCCCGAGCGTCTGGTGACGTTCCCACCGCTCTTCTGGAGCACGTGCGCGTGCCTGGAGTCGATCAACGAGAGGGAATTCCTCGAAGCGGCGGAGATGCTGGACGTGTGGCTGACCAAGGTCGACTTCCGGTCTCCGCATGTGCGCCGCATCCTCGCCGACGGACAGCCGGCGCAGTGGGAAGGCCCTTTCGAGGGCCTGCAGCCTCTCGTCCACAAGGGGCTGCGCTCGTCACTGTGCTGGCAGCCGACGCTTGACCTCATCGACAAGCTCATCCAGCTGCCCAGCGACGGCCTGGTCGGAGACGATGACCGCGTGCTGTTTGCCGTGCTGGCTAACTTCCCCCGTTTCCTGCACGAACTGGAAAGCGGCATCCCGAGCGAGGGCGCGCTGCACACGGCCGACATCCTGACCCAGGAGACGGAGAGGCAGGGGCTGGAGTCGATCTCGATCGCGCTGAGCGACTACACGGCCGGGGCGTACCGCAGCACCAACGACTTCCTGGGCCAGCTGTTTGCGGCCATCAAGGAGTGCTACCTGCCGGGCCAGGACTTCAAGATGATCACCTTCCTGATCGGCCTGCTCACCAACTCGTTGTCGTGGGTCAAGGTGCATACGATGCGCATCCTGTGCGTGGCGCTGCCCGAGATCGACATGAGCAACCCGGAGCTGGCGGGCCACGGGTCGGATCTCATCTCTCCCCTGCTGCGGCTGCTGCAGACCGAGTTCTGCATGGAGGCTCTCGAGGTGCTGGACAACATCATGACCATGTCGGGCAGTCACATGGACAAGCACCACCTGCGGATGAGCATGACGCGGTCGACGTCCAAAGCCATCCGCAAGGAGTATGAGCGGACACAGAGCCTGTTCGGCATCCCCGAGGCGTCCGGATGGGCGACGCCCGTCCCTGCCAAGAAGACAGAGGCCACGCGGGCCAACCTCCACGCCACCTTTTACATGTGCCAGGGCGCCGAGGGCACGCCGCCGCAGTCGGCCCCGAGCGTCGGGTTGGAATTCGAATCGGATGACTTTGCCTACGGCTACTTTGAGTCTGGCAGCAAGGAGCGCACGGCGACCATGCTGTCCGACGGCGGACGTGACGAGTCCGGCCCCATCGGCGACCTGGTCAGCAAGCTCGACGACCTGGACGACTTCTTCGACGAGCCATCGAGCCCGCACACCGACGACGACCGCGAGTCGTCGCGCACGATTACCGAGTTCACCCCCGAGTCGTTTGAGTCCGGAGCGCAGCTGTACGACGAGCAGATACTGCCCATCCTACACGAGGCGTCAACCAGCAGCGGCCTGTTTCAGAATGGCTTCGCCGACCGTTCCTTTCGCGACGGGGCCTCGCCCTCGTCCAACAACAGCAACACCATGAACCCCGGCGCCTTCTCGGCCGCCATCCCGCCTGCCCGGCCACCGCTTCACGCGCGCTCCATCACGTCGCCCTCCACCTCGGCCCCGTACCACACGTCCGACGTCACCTTGGAGGACGACAACTGCCTACCTGGTGTCGATGAGGAGGCGGAAGACGCCGAGCTGCAGCCGCAACCGCCGCTGCCGCAGGGACTGACACCCGAGACGATAGTCCGGTCGCCGACGCCGACGCAGGGTCCACGACCGACGCTGCGTCGTCTGAAGAGCCGTTCGCGAGATGTCGGAGGCGTGCCACCCGTGCCGAGCCTGCCGACGGAGAGGACCATATGAAGGCATGGTCTGGTGGGAGCTGAGGGTTTATGAACGGAATGAGGATGGAAATCATCTTATATATGTGAACTACTCTTTTTGTCATTTTGAGCACCGGAAAAGCACTTCTACTACCACTACGGCTACTACTACTACTACTATTAGACTTTTTTTTCCCGTAGCATCTACGCAAGAATACCCACATGTTTTCTCCTCCTCTTGATTCCATGCTAATTGTTTCATGTACTTTACAGTTAGATGAGAGAGGACTACGTGATTGACGAAGGATGATGGAAGGATGAAAATAGGCGTACCTTGGAAGAGAGATATAGAAGAAGAAGAAGAATTGTGAGTATGTGTGTGATGAATTAGCATATATGTTCTTGTTTATAGAGAGAAAGTCTTTGGTATTTTTTTGCTTGTGCCTTGCTTTGCTGTCGAGACCGTCCCGTTCCAGAAGACCAAAAGATGAACAACACCAGACGCCAGGTAGAGGTATTATTATAGATTAATTCGAAGGAAGAAGGATATACATATGTCTCAGTAGCGGTGACGGGTGGAGTAATCTGCCGGGGAGAAGAGGTCTGATGTTAGTAAAAGAGCATGCATAAAAGAGGGATAGAGAGAAACAGAGGGAAGAGGGACAGAGAGGTGAGAGAGGGGAAGAGAGAGAGAGAGAGAGAGAGAGAGAGAGAGAGAGAGAGAGAGAGAGGAAACGTACCCTTTGGACTGACGACGAGACCTCTACCCTTCTTGGCACCTCGGTATATTGTCTCGAGAATGTCAATGAGCTCTTGCTTGTCCTCGAGGACCCAGTTGAGCTTGTTGTTGTTTCCGGTGCCAAAGTCACACATGATGTGCTTGTTGCGGAAGAAGAACATGATTGTGCAGGGGTCGTACAGCTCGTACATCTGGTTAAAGTCGGGGACCTGGTCGATGTCGCAGACGTAGATGACGGCAAAGGACTTGACCTTGTCGGCGATCTTGTAGAGGACCTCGTCCTGCTGCATGCATGCGGGGTCCCAGTCGCGGCCGAAGCGGATGCACACCAGGCGCTCCTCCTCGCTCAGGATGGCCTGGTCGACGTGCCAGCCTGAGTTGAGATGGGGGATGACGACGGAGCCCATCTTCGGTGAGAAGTGTAGGGGAAGAGGGCGATTTGCCTCCTTTTTTCTTCTTCTCGTCTGGGGGTGGGGGTGGGGTTATCTCTGTGTGCTAAGTTATTGTGATAGAGCAATGGCTTGGTGGTGGTGATGGTGGTGATGTTTTCCTTGGTGGGGGAGGGGAAGGTTGTGGAGAAGTAAGTAAGTAGTCAAGCTACCTTTGCCAGACGTTTAGACGGGTAGAAGGTCGGATAAATAGCGTCTGATCTGATGGATCATGCAGGACTCATTCCGAGGAATCATTTAGTATACAGGATGATCAAAAGCCGCAAAGATAGCATGTATGACTTATCGTGTATATCATTATTAATCAGTAACTTTTTATAAGGGGAAATAGCGAATAAGGAGGTGCTTGTTATACAGTGACCCCACATCGGAAGAAGGTTTTCCCTATTTCCGTCGCCGCCGATTGCTCCGACAGATTGGAGGAACCAAAAAATGTAGGAATCAGAAAGACGGGTTTCTTTTGACTGCGACGCACGAAGTAGCATATAGGAATTCTCCGTTGCAAGTTCTGCGTCCTCGCATCTGTTCGTTCTACGGCTGTCTGCGTGTGTGTGTGTGTGTGTGTGTGTGTGTGTTTGGGTGTCAGGAAGATGATGAAACGATTCCCTCCATAGAGTTAGAGAAGATGACTATTGACAAGGGTCTCACCTAACCTCGACAGTCAAACCGGTTCATCCCATCAACAACACGACCGGACCAAGCGGGCAAACATGCTTGCCGGAGTCACGCCAGCTGGAAACGTGCGACCTATCGCATCGCGCATCGCCATCGCGGCACAACGGCGAGTGGCACCGACACCGTCACTATCATCACCACGATCATCATGGCCTCCTCGAAGGACGTCCTCGACGGGTGCTTCCTCTTCAGATAGCAGCAGCAGCAACAGCCACAGCAAGCACGAGAACAGGAGCAGCAACGACGCCAGCAAGCTCATCTACCCCTCTGCGGCAGCCAAGTCCCCTCACAACAGCCTAGAGACATTCGTCGGCTACGCTGAGCGGACGGGTCTGGACCCCCGATCAACCGTCTACGTAGGCACCCGCTACGAGTACCAGGTCGCAGCGGCCCTTTCACGCTACGGCTTCCACCTCGTGCGCGTAGGCGGCGCAGGCGACTACGGCACCGACCTCCTGGGGACGTGGACGCCTCCGACGACGGGGACGGCCCTGCGCCTCCTCGTCCAGTGCAAGGGCGGCGCTCAGCGCGTGGGACCCAACCTCGTACGCGAGCTCGAGGGGGCCTTTGCCAGCGCGCCGCCCGGCTGGAGGGGTACCGGCGGGGGCAGCGACGGCGGCAATGCCAACGCCAATGTCATGGGCCTGCTCGTGGGCCAGAGGCCGGCCACGAAGGGGGTGCGCGACTCGCTGGGTCGCAGCCGGTGGCCCATGGGATACGCCTGCTGCGATGCTGAGGGGAGAGTGATGCAGCTGATGTGGAATCACAGGGCTGCTGATGGGGGATTGGGCGATCTCGACGTCGTGACGAGGAGGTCTCACGGTGATCGGGGCGAGCAGTCTGAGGTTGTGTTGGTGCGTCAAGGAAAGGTGCTCCCCTTTTGCTGATGCTGTCGGGTACATGCACATGTAGGGACGAGTTGCATTCGTCTCGAATCGTCTTGCATCGGACATTCCTCTGCAGCTTTTGTGGCGACGATCCCGATGATGCCGCACGACTGTTCCATTGGCATCACTCAGTAGTCGACGATGACGACAATAACCGTAACAACAATTTCGGCGGGGGGGGGGGGGGCAGAAAGATAAAAGGACTAGAAGATAAAAGGACTAGGACTAGAAGATCAAAGAACTAGAAGATAAAAGAACTAGATGAAGAGAGAGAGAAAAAAAAGACGCCACGATAATTCCCAATTGCGTACTCCGACCGGTCAACAGATATTATCTTAGTAATTATTGACGTTTTATTATTCAATCGAGCGAAGCAAAGAGGCCTTGATGATGTAACCAACTCCCAAACTCCGGTCTTGGCTCTGCCCCTCTCTTTGTGCCCCTCTACTGACCATACATGGTACCTTGAATGTATGCAGCTGCTGTTGATGTTATTACGAAACTAATATGTTTTCAGCATTCCGGCATTCCGAGATGTCGAGGTATTGAATGTGGAGGCCGTAGCAGACTATATGAAGTAGACTTTCCCTCACCCTCATCTCATAGTACATCTCTCCTCTCTTGCTCTCACAACATCATCAGCAATCCCACCATCTCTCATAGCGAATCGCATCTGCACGCTCCACTCGACAGGCGAGAATCAGCAGCAACAGGCACGATGACGTCCGAGATCAAGCCCCTCAAAGTGTACACCCGTACGTAAAAGGCTCCCCTTCTCCGAATCCGACCAGCTGGCTGACACCGGGTATGGCGTCGACCAAGACGGCGGTTCTGGTCCCAATCCTTACAAGGTGGTCATTCTCCTGAACGAGCTCGGCCTCCCGTATGAAGATGTGAGAAGACTCCATGCACACACGCACGCACGCACACATACAAGTGGAACATGTCGAGGGAGTACGTGCCTGCATGGCATACATGGTGCTAACACAACACGAAAGATCAAAATCTCCAACCCCAAGGAAGAATCCTTTGTCAAGATCAACCCCAACGGCCGCGTCCCGGCCATCGAGGACCCCAACACCGGCCTGACAATCTGGGAGTCGGGTGCCATTCTCGAGTACATCGTCGAGACGTACGACAAGGAGAACAAGGTCGGCGCCACCAACACGGCCGACAAGTGGGCGCTCAAGCAGCTCCTGCACTTCCAGATGTCTGGTCAGGGCCCCTACTTTGGCCAGGCCGTGTGGTTCCAGAAGTTTGACAAGGAGGCCCCCTCGGCCACCGAGCGCTACAACGAACAGCTCCTCCGTGTCCTCGGCGTCGTCGACAACCTCCTCGAGGGGAAGGAGTACTTTGTCGGTGGAAAGCTGTATGTGCCGATCCCGCCAGGTCCCCCCTTCCTATGCATCGTCTGCACACCCGACTGATTAAACCCGTCCTCTCCATTGCCAGCACCTATGTCGACATTGCCTTTTACCCCTGGAGCCGCATCGTCTCCTTACCCAACTACTTCCTCACCACCATCTGGGAGAAGTACGAGGTCGAGAAGACGTACCCCAACTTCGTCGCCTGGTTCAAGAGGATCAGCGCTCTGCCCTCGGTGCAGAAGGCGTACGCGTAGCGGTCTCGCGATGCGGTCTAAGCAGGGCAGAGATACACACCTAGAGAGTACTTGACAGTTACAGAAGATAGAGATGTACACATTGCACACACATGAAGTGAAAGATATCAGCAGCACGACCGTTTCTCTCCTCCTTCTCCTTCTCCTTCTCCTTCTTCCTTTCCTTGTCCCTCTCTGTCTCTGCCGATTCAATCGTCCCACACGGAAGCCTTGGCGCGCTCTGCTTCTTCTCTACGTCTCTGCTCTGCAGCCTTCTCCTGATCCCTCCTCTTTCTCTCCTGCTCCCTGACAGACTTTTGGTACCCTCTCTGCTCCTCTGTCAGCTTGGGCATCTTGAGCCCCAGCCCGGCGGCGATCATGCGCCGAGCGACGGCGTCCGTCTTCTCGGGTCTGCGCTCCAAGTCGGTGGCCTGGGGCCTGGACCGTGCGGTGCTGGGGCCCGGACCTGGTGACGAGGATGACGATGCCGGTGGGAAGGGTGCCGGTGGCGGAGGCGACGGGACATTTGGCGTTCGCACGGATGTGGCACCCGTCGTGGTCGTGGTCGTGGTCGTGGTCGTCGCCGTCAAGGGTCTCTCCACCTCCTCCTCCACCACCTGCTCCTCTGCATCATCACCCGAGAGATCCTCATCTTCCCAAGAGTCGACAACGACCTTCCTGGACGGCTTCCTGGACCTGGACTTCTTGGTGGGAGACTTGGAGGTGGGGTCGAGTGAGAGCTTGGACAGTGACGATTCCACGCCTTCCTCGTGTGGGGTCTCTGCTGGCATGATGAGAAGATCGATGAGGCCGAACCTGCCTGGATCTCTCCCTTCTAGATGAGCTGATATTGCTTGTGACGGAGACGGTGCAGTGCAGATGTGATGTGGTCTGTATGATGCGTCACTGCGTAGTGGATTGGTGAGATATATGTCAATGTGGGGGGAGCGAGGCAAGGCTTCAAGCTCTTCTTGGGGGGGGGGGGGATTTTTTTTGGTCCGTCTTCTCCACTATTTTCCCATGGCTGCAACCGTACGGAGAACGGTGAGGAAGAGACTGTCTGTCTCCCAAGCGGGAGGTTTGAAGTGTATCATGCAATGTCCATTAAAGGGTATTGATGAGTTATCTCATTGATGAGAGGATGAACTGCATGAGTCTGTTCGTACGGAGTAGATGTGTATGTAACATGCGAGATGAGACCAGGGGGGTTAAGCTCGTGGACGGAGACGGAGCTATCAGTTATTATTAATACAGAACAGGCACAGACAGGCCTCAGTACATGCTATAACCGACAGGTGGTGCTACTAATAATAATACTACTAATCTGTAGAAACAACGGTACAATAGTAGAACGGAGTGTGATAGCGTAATAATCGAGAGAATGTGAGAGAAACATGGCGATTCAACCAGTCTATTTACCCGTCTATTTACCGATGCCCTATGAATCCCGAACAATGGGGTAACAATAATTCGGCCTGCAAGCTCCGAGCTCGCGCCGCGTCGACATCTTGAGTTTCCTTACTAATGCGGGCGGTATTGGTTTCTCCTAGACCTCTATCAATCCATCGTTTACCTGTCCTCCCTATCCGTGACAAGCTAGGCGATTGGCTTCATTCTGATTCCTGGCACACACTCTCCCTCTTACCCCCCCCCCCCCCCCCCCCCCCCCCTCCCTNCCTCATCCCTCCCTCTCTCTCTCCCCTCTCCCCTTAGTATACTTCTTAAATCCCCCCTCCACCTTCCTCTTCGCTCCCAACTAGCGCACCCTCTGGTGGCCGCTGGTTACGTCCGATTCCAACCGCTTCCTATCCCTTCGACCGAGCCAAGATCCGAACTCGGGAAGCTCCTTCTTCCCCTTAGAGGCTCCTTCCAGCAATGATTCCACGGTCTCGCGCATCAGGGCGCCTCCTCCTCCAGTCCGGGAGGGCCTCTTCGCGTGTCGTCTCCGTGAGCACGTGGGCATCCAGCAATCCCGCCTACAGGTGCCCACACATCTGCAGCCGACGTCTGCCGCCCACCCGGGCACCTGGCTTGGCCGCAGCCTCCTTCTCAACTGCCGCAAGGCTCGCTAAAGATAACCGCGACAAGGACAAGGGCAAGAGCTTCTTCGACTCGTCCGTCGAGTCTACCGAGCCCTTATCCGACGAAGAGGCCAAACTCAACCGGGAGAACAGGGCCAAGGATGCTGTGGAGAACAAGAACTTCGACTCGAATGCCTCCTCTGCCAAGTCCGAAGGCGGCGCTCAGTCCTCGTCACAGGATGCCAAGGGCAGCAGTGCGGCCGGGAACGGCGGCGAGGGCTCCGACGGTGGCAGCAGCAACAGCGGCGGCGGCGGCAAGAAGGGGAAGAAGTCCTCTGATCGAGCGCTCGCGAAGCCCGTAGTCCCCGATGTATACCCCCAGGTCCTGGCCATACCGATAGCGCGGAGGCCGTTGTTCCCGGGCTTCTACAAGGCCATCACCATCAAGGATCCCGAGGTGGCCTCGGCCATCACCGAGTCCATCAAGCGCGGCCAGCCGTACGTTGGCGCCTTCCTCTTCAAGGATGAGAACCACGACGACGACGTGATCCGCAACGTTGACGACGTCTACGACGTCGGCGTCTTTGCCCAGATCACCAGCGCCTTCCCCATCCACGGCCAGGAGGGTGCCCTGACGGCTATCCTCTACCCCCACCGCAGGATCAAGCTGTCGAGCCTGATCGCGCCCGAGGCTAAGGAGGCCAAGGAGGCCAAGGACGCCGCCGCCCCCGGCACCGCCAAGACGATCGAGGAGGCTTCGGACCCGGCAGCGGCGCCTGAACCTATCCCCCAGAAGCCCGCGCGCGACGAGCCGACGCCGGACAGCAAGAAGGGAGACGCCGTGGCCAGCTTCGAGAAGGGTGCCGTCGAGAAGAAACCCGACCAGCAGGCCGAGAAGTACGAGCCGACATCCTTCCTCAAGAGATACCCCGTGAGCCTCGTCAACGTTGAGAACATGGCGGAGGAGGCCTACGACCCCAAGAGCCCGGTGATCCGGGCCGTGACCAACGAGATCGTCAACGTGTTCAAGGAGGTGGCGACGATGAACAACCTGTTCCGCGACCAGATCTCGACCTTTTCCATGAGCCAGTCGACAGGCAACGTGACGTCGGAACCGGCCAAGCTGGCCGACTTCGCGGCGGCGGTGTCGTCGGGCGACCAGACGGAGCTGCAGGAGGTGCTGTCGTGCATGAACGTCGAGGAGAGGATGCAGAAGGCGCTGACGGTGCTCAAGAAGGAGCTGATGAATGCGCAGCTGCAGTCCAAGATCACCAAGGACGTTGAGCAGAAGATCAGCAAGCGCCAGCGCGAGTACTGGCTTATGGAGCAGATGAAGGGCATCCGGCGCGAGCTGGGCCTCGAGTCGGACGGCAAGGAGAAGCTGGTGGAGAAGTTCAAGGACAAGGCCAACAGCCTGGCCATGCCGGACGCGGTCCGCAAGGTGTTTGACGAGGAGCTCAACAAGCTGGCCCACCTGGAGACGGCGGCGTCCGAGTTCAACGTGACGCGCAACTACCTGGACTGGCTGACGCAGATCCCGTGGGGCCAGAGGAGCGCCGAGAACTTCGGCATCCCCAACGCGCAGAAGGTGTTGGACGAGGACCACTACGGGCTGCAGGACGTCAAGGACCGCATCCTCGAGTTCATCGCCGTGGGCAAGCTCCGCGGCACGGTCGAGGGCAAGATCCTGTGCTTCGTGGGCCCGCCCGGCGTGGGCAAGACGAGCATCGGCAAGTCCATCGCCCGCGCGCTGAACCGCCAGTACTACAGGTTCAGCGTGGGCGGGCTGACGGACGTTGCCGAGATCAAGGGCCACAGGAGGACGTACGTCGGCGCGCTGCCCGGCCGCATCATCCAGGCGCTCAAGAAGTGCCAGACGGAGAACCCGCTGGTGCTCATCGACGAGGTGGACAAGATCGGCAAGGGCTACCAGGGCGACCCGTCGTCGGCGCTCCTGGAGCTGCTGGACCCGGAGCAGAACAACTCGTTCCTGGACCACTACCTCGACGTGCCGGTGGACCTGTCCAAGGTCCTGTTCGTGTGCACGGCCAACATGACGGACACGATCCCGCGCCCCCTGCTGGACCGCATGGAGCTCATCGACCTCTCGGGGTACGTGGCGGACGAGAAGAAGGCCATTGCGCAGAAGTACCTGGCGCCGGCCGCCAAGGAGGCGGCCGGCCTGCAGAACGCAGACGTGGACCTGACCGAGGAGGCCATCGAGGAGCTCATCAAGTCGTACTGCCGCGAGTCGGGCGTGCGCAACCTCAAGAAGCAGATCGAGAAGGTGTACCGCAAGTCTGCGCTCAAGATCGTGCAGGAGCTTGGCGAGGACGTCCTCCCCGAGGAGGAGGCCCTGACCGAGGAGGGCAAGTCGGCGCTGGAGGCGTCGCCGGAGAGCGAAGCGACCAGCAGCAGCAGCAGCAGCGCCGAGAGCACCGGCACCAGCTCGGGCGGCACGACGGACAGGCCCCGCAAGGCGCTCCGCGTCCCGGACAGCGTGCACGTGGCCATCGACAAGACCAACCTGACGGACTACATAGGCCCGCCCGTCTTCACGTCGGACCGTCTCTACGAGGTCAGCCCGCCGGGCGTGGCCATGGGTCTGGCGTGGACCCAGCTCGGCGGCTCGGCCATGTACACCGAGTCGATCCTGCAGGCTCCCCTGCGCCCGTCCAGCCGGCCGGGTCTCGAGATCACGGGCAACATCAAGACGGTCATGAAGGAGTCGACGACCATCGCCTACTCGTTCGCCAAGTCATTCGCCCTGGCCAACTTCCCGGACAACCACTTCTTCGACAAGGCCAGGATGCACATGCACATGCCCGACGGCGCCGTGCCCAAGGACGGCCCATCGGCCGGCATCACCATGGCCACCTCGTTACTGTCGCTCGCCCTGGACGCCCCCGTCAACCCGACCGTCGCCATGACGGGCGAGCTGACCCTCACCGGCAAGGTGCTCCGCATCGGCGGCCTTCGGGAGAAGACGGTCGCCGCCAGGAGGGCCGGCTGCACCACCGTCATCTTTCCCAAGGACAATCTGTCTGACTGGCTCGAGCTTCCGGAGGTACGTATTTTTCTTTCTCCCCCGGTTACGACCCTTTCTGCTGCTACTACCTGTCTTCCTCTCTCTCTCTCTCTCTCTCTCTGTTTTCGAGCTTTCAGGTTCCCATTCCCCTGCTAACATGTACTCCGCAGAACATTAAGAATGGCATCGAGGGCCACCCGGTAGAGTGGTACAACGACGTCTTTGACATTGTCTTTCCCAACCTCGACAGGGAAAAGGCCAACACGTGTAAGATTGCCGAGTGGGTCAAGAAGAATGGCGAGGATGAGAAGTCATCGAATGATGAGGAGTAGGGAAGGAAGAAGAGAAAGATGTGCATTTTCTCTCGATGTGTAGATGTGGGAATTCTCATCTCCTCTTTTTTTCTCGTGTCCCTCCCCCCCCTTTTTTTCTCTTATCTTTTTTTGTCAAAGCATCAATCCATCATTGTTGGTTCAATATGTCATCATCTCTACTGTACAAAAAAAAGAAAAAAGAAAGAAGAAGTAGAAAAAAAACGAGGAGGATATATGTGGGTGAGAGAGTTGTGGAATCTGGTATATCTAGATGTGTATGTGTAGCTGTATTGTGTGATAATTAAAATCAAACATTTCTCTCCTCAAAACATACTGAACTATGGGTTCTACGAGAGTGAAAAGGGAGGGGGGGAAGGCATTTCTCACCTCCAAAGAAAGGAAATGAGAAGTGAAATGGGAAGGAAAGAAGAAAGAAAGAAAGAGAGAAAGAAGAGAGAGAGAGAGAGACTATAACAAATCTCTCCTCAACACTGATGCTCTTATGCCTTTCTAAGTCTACGGAGGTTTTTTTGTCTTCTACTCGTATGAGCAAGTCATGTTAGCCACCCCTTCATCTATTCACCACGCCATGGCCCATGACCAAAGTATTACTATTAGTCAGTGAGACGGACGGGACGAGCCTAGCGTCTCGGTATTAACGACCAGGTTAGATATGACGATTTGATTGCCCACGACTGCTGACTCCCTGCTAACTTGTGAGTTGGCTCTGCTCGTCATCAGGGATGATGGGTCGTATCATGACGAGTATTCGTATTCCGTAGGCAGGTAACCAACCAACCCGTGATGGCATTGAACATGATGGCATTGAACGTCATGGCATTGAAGATGTTGCTGCAAGCAGTTGACTGCTGGGGCTGCAGCTAAACGGGGGCAGCTACTCAGTAGTAGTAGTAGTAGTAGTAGTAGTAGTAGTAGCAGCAGCAGCAGCGGCGGCGGCGGCAGTAGTAGTAGTAAGCAGTGGTAGTGGTAGCAGTGGTAGTAATGGTAATAGTAGTAGTACGCAGTAGTAACCGTCGTCATAGTCGTGTAGCAGGAGTGGTGATGCTACTCAGTTTCGAGGCGAAATATCGTACAGTAATATGTCACCTCCGTACGTGGCCCAATGAATGGAGTTTGATGCCCAAAGTGAGGAAAGTAGGAAAGCCTCGGGGACAGAACAAAAGAGACAGAAGGGGATATGGAAGGGAGAAGGGGAGGGTGGCGTTGCGGCAGGTTGGAAGATTATTGTCCTCATTCAGTCATGGCGGCGAAAGCCGCGCATTTGGGCCGTTGGCAGGGCGGGGAGGGGGAACCTGGACACACGAGGAAAATTGCTCTGTTCATAGAAATAGAGTGATTACGGCCCCATATTCGTAATGGATCTCCTCTCATCTGGCTGCCGGGTCCTATCTCGCATCCGTCTGCTTCTCGATTCGGCCATGAGGTTTGGTGGGATCATCTGCGTGGGGTTTTCTGAACGATGCGTTGGCTCCATTGGACAACAGAGTAGGCGTCATTGATGGCTCACAACCGACAATCTTGAGTGGGTGGCTGGTGGTGCTCTGGAGCTGTCGGATGAAGAGGGGCAAAACTTTGGAAAGGTTCGTATGAGGGGAAGCCGTTACAACGTATGGGCGTGTTCTGTCTTACGAGAGTAATAGGGCCACGGGCGAGTAGAGATGTGGTATCGCTCGGTAGTTTTCTGATCAATGAGAGAGGACCTTGGGGGACAGCAGCACACATCTTCTGCTATTCTGCGCGTAATGATACGAGCACTCTGCCTGTACTCGCAGCCTGCTCGTAGGACGTGGGTGGTGGTCATGGTGGTGTGGTGGGCCTCTCGGGCTGGACCAGACAACTCATCAGGCATGTTTGGGCGCGGGGCGATTCGCAGATCGATATTACAGGGTTGGAATGCATTCGATTGAGATGGGGTGACACTGATAGCCCAATGGTTCAATAGTGCTGATAAGTCGATACCCGGTGCCGCAATGTGGTTTCGACCTGTGCTGGCAGCGACAAGGTCAACGGGAGTCGCTGAATGGATAGAGGCGTGAGGAGAGAGGAGAGAGCCCGGATGGTTCTCAATCAATTGTGTGAGGATTGATTTGAAGAGAGAGAGAGAGAGCACGACATTTGAGGCTTAGTCAAAGAGGCTACAGTCAGGTGATGAGATGTATCATTCTGGAAGGCAGGAGCACTGCAGGATCATGGGCAGGAGCAAGGCAGAAGAATTAGTATCACAGGCCCGATAGTAGGTAGGTAGGCTGTAACAGCATGGAGGGCAAGGAGCGTCGAGGATTCTAGGGCTGCAGTCTCGTCCCACAGCAGCGGTTTCTTCCTCTCAATCCATGGACTTGGGGACGCTTCTGCGCGCGATTGGGCATCATTACAGTCGTCATGTAACGGTCATGCTATTGGCACACTTGGTAATAAATAGTACGATACGAGTATGGCAGTAATTCAGTAGACAAGACAGAGTGCGCACGACAGCACGTGAGGGACAGTCTTTCACCGTGAGATTATTGTGCATACCCGTACTGGTGCATATACTCGTAGACAGCGAGTACGATGCATACATACTAACCGTACGTTGGCGCATAACGCCGCAGGTAGGAACTCGAAGCTGCTAACGTCACGCTACCAAGACTTCCGTCCCACATGGCGGCCCATGGAGCTTGTTGGATGCACTCACCGCCGCCATCGGGTTTGCGGTCAAGGCCCAAGGCAGAGAGAGAGAGAGAGCGAGAGAGAGAGACCACCGAGGCGAATTCTATGGGGATGATCACGGAGGACGTGGTGCATAACTCCGACAGACCCTTGGCAATTGGGCATCTCGTCTCTCTCGTCTCTTCCTCACTCTCAATCCCAAGCACCATCTCCGATCCCAGGTGATGACGGGTTGCCAAGCAGCCAGGTGGCTTGCCAGATAACGATAATACTGCCTTACAGCGTGCTGGTTCCCGGACCTCCCAGCCATGATAGGAGGAGGATGATTGCCCGCAGCATGATGCTGAGACGGGCAACGACCCTTCTCTCGTCTGCTCTTTCCCCTTCACCCTGAAAGCTCGTGATTTTATGTGCGAGGGAGCGGTGGGAGGGGAAGGAGCTGCTGGTAGATCACGATACTGTGAGGGAAAGAGCCCATGCACCTGCCGACAAGGTACCGGTGTAGCGGTAGCAATGGGCACTCCAGCTGATGATGTGATAGCATGTATCAAGTATCGCTCGTCCGTACGAGTACTCGCAGCGCATTCACAGCGCACTCACAGCGCACTCACAGCGACTGCTGGCATGGATCTTCAAAGTGGTGCCAGCTGGCAGGCAGTACCAACCAGCAGCAGCAGCAGCAGCGGCAGCAGGCTGCTCATACTGTGCACGCTGTATTACGGAGCAAGATGTACGGATTAGTATATTACATCTGTACATGTATCCGCACATGCGGGCAGTGACCCATTTGAGTCCATGACCAGCGCTGAGGATGACGGCTAGACACCTTGGAACATCATCCAGCACCCGATGCCTACTCTGTAATGATACATGCGCATCGCTACGTCGTCACAGCTAGTAACATCTTGCCAATAGCAGAGGCAAGCGGCAAGGGCATCACCACCCCAGACCACACCTCAGTCCAGTCCACCCACAGCATCATCCGTGACAATCGTTCCCGCCTGCTCTTCCCGCCGGCTCTTCTCACGGGCTCCTTCTTCCCACCTTCTTCCCACCGGCTCCCCCCACTGCAGCCTCTACGCTTCAGACAGCAGTGGTCGGATCCCTCTGTGAGGATATGCATCTCGCCAGCCACCTCCAGTAGACCACTTCGGCTTAGCAGCAGCTGTACGGAGTACCTCCTCCACCTTCACGCATCCGCCCGTTTCTTACGCCCGACCTGCTCCCTCCAACCTGTCGTCTCTCGCAGTCCATCCATCTGTTCTTTCCTGCTTCCCTCTTCTCGTCAACTCTCTCGGCCTTATCTGCCAACCCAAACCATTTCTCTTGCCGCTGCACGAGCACCATCCATCCGCGTCGTCAACTTCTCCCTGCCCTATCGACGTAGCACCGCACACATACACAGCACCACATCCTCTACCCCACCGGCATCGGGCTCTAGCGCTACCACCACTTCACGATACCAAGATTGTTCCGTGCTCATTCTCCTCCTCAACTTCTCTCTGTCTTACCAACGATTCTTTCTTCTTCTTTCTTATTTTCAAGGATATCGTCCTTCAATTTGTTGAATTGACCTGCTCTGGACTGCCCAGACCATCTCCAGACACCAATATTCGAAACAGATTACTTCATCTTCGCTCTCTCTCGTCTTGCCTATACGAGCAATCACATATGATCCGCCCGCCAGCTACTTGGACCCCTCTTTAGGCGCTTATTCTACATCACACCAACGCCCACGCCTTTCCGCCAATTGCTTCCCTCTCTCTGAAGGGAAAGGGGAAAAGAAGAGGTAGAGGACGAGAAAGACCGTCTACCTTCGGTCGCATCCTCCACATCGCACCTCGGCACTCTCTCTTAACGGCCACATTGGTCCTGCGTGGCTTCAGACATCACCGTCCCCCTCACCTAGCTCTGACCGCTTCTCCGCAGCACGGGCTCTCTGGCTCACCAGAACGCCATGGCGCAGTGCGATGGACCGCAAACGCAACCCGTGGCAGCGCCGCCAGCCATCGGCGTATCCCGGCCTGAAGAGGATGCATATCCTGATCACCCAAAGCTGGATAACCCACTACCTCCCCGCAAAGGCGGTCGTATATCCAGGAGTGTCATCCCCGGTCTCCCGCGAACCCAGACATTCGCACGCCGGCTTTCCGAGGAGAGGAGCCGTCTTCATCCCGTCAGACCATCCGGAGACGAGAGGAGAGCCATGTCTGTCGACCGTCGTTCGCGAGTATTCGACACGTATTCCGAGGCCAGGCAGGCGGATCCCATTCACCATCCTAACCTTGCCGATTCATATCTACCACAACCAGAGGACCCAGAACAGCCAGGACAGCCAGGACAGCCAGGACAGCCAGAGGCGCTAGAGGAGCCAGAGGCGCCAGAGGAGCCAGAGGAGCCAGAGGAGTCAGAGGAGCCAGAGCAACTTGAAGAACTCGAGCAGCCAGAAGCTTCAGAACGACCTGAGACGTCAGAGGCTCCAGAACAACCCCAGGCGTCCCCTGCGTCCGAAGTCAGAGGTCAGCCTGTTGCGGGGTGGCCTCTGCACGTTGAACTCAACGGTGATCTCGGCGCCGCTGGCGAATTCTTGGATTCGGATCAAGGCGATGACGACGACGACCCCATCCCCGACGACAAGTCTGCCGTGAGCTCCCAGCACGAATTTGATGCCATGATCCGCCACGAGCTCGAGACGACCTGGATCCTCAACCTCAGCATGCGTTACAAGGACCACTCGAATCGGGAAAAGTTCTTCGTCTCGTACCGCGCCGGCAGCGTCTGGCGCCGCGTCACCGTCACAGTAGACTACCGCAACGCCCCGCGCGACTCCCTCGAGACAGAGCTCTTGAAGATGAAGTATCAGCGTGACAAGAACTCCAGGATATACGAGAATATCCGCACGAGCCTGCAGGAGATTCGCTTCTACGATACCGTCACCAACCTCAAGCTCGAGACGATAGCCGACAGGCTCCACGTTCACGTCGTCGAGGATGGAAATGTGAGTTCTTCCCATGCCATGCTAGCCCTCTTTATCGCAACGTCACCCGTAAACCATTGAAACTCATTCTTGATTCTAGGAGATCATTCACTTCCCCCCTGTGGCCCAGGTAGCCCATATCCCCTGCCCGCACATCAGGGAGAGCGATATCGTCTTTGACCATCACATGTCGGGCTTCGTATACAAGGTCAAGGTGGCCGGCGAAGGTCTCATCAAGAAGGAGATACCCGGCCCCGACACCGTCGATGAGTTCATGTACGAGATCAATGCTCTCAGCAGTCTCGCCGATTCCGAGAGTGTCATTGATTTCTACGGCCTCGTCGTCGACGACGAGGACCGCCACGTCAAGGGGCTCCTCATCAGGTACGCCGACGGAGGTTCCCTGGTGGACATCCTCTACGACCACTGCAAGGACCGCCGGGTCGGCCTGCAGTGGTCCCTGAAGGAGCGCTGGGCCCGGCAGATCGTCCGTGGGCTTGCCGATATCCACGATGCCGGCTTCGTCCAGGGCGACTTTACCCTATCCAACATTGTCATCGACGACAAGGACGACGCCAAGATCATCGACATCAACAGGAGAGGATGCCCCGTCGGCTGGGAGCCCCCGGAGGCGACGCCGCTCATCGAGTCGCAGTACTCCATCGCCATGTACATCGGCGTCAAGTCGGACCTCTTCCAGCTGGGCATGGTCCTCTGGGCCCTGGCCATGGGCGAGGACGAGCCCGAGAGGGAGGGGCGACCCCTGACGTTTGACCCGGAATGCGAGGTGCCTGTGTGGTACCGGGCCATGACCGACACGTGCCTGAGCGCCGACCCACGAAAGCGACGCGAAGCCTCGGGCCTTCTCGCATTCTTCCCGAACGAGGACGTGCCGGAACTGCGCGTCTCGGTCGAAGAGGAGGACGTCGCATCGATCCCCGGCTACGCCTATGTCGACGACGACGTCGACGACGACATGATGGCCGGCGAGGACGAGTGCAACGCATACGGAATCCCTCGTGGACGTACCAACACGCAGTCGTACAACTGGTGGCAGCAGGGAGCTGCCTGTGTGCCCGCCGTTCCGCCGTGGCACTACGCCCCGCGTGGTCGCTCGCCGCCCAGCCCGCTCCCGAGCGACTGCGAAGATGACGGAGGCGACGGATACGAAGGTGATGGCAACGACGGCGAAGATGGGCAGTCGCGGCGCAGACGCCACAGCTACCCCGCCTGGTCGGCCAACAGAAACATCCGGCCCTCCTACAGCGACGCGGGCGGGGAGGAGGCGGCACCGTTCGACCAGGTGGCTCAGCAGCTCACACCCAGCGCCTCCAAGGATATGGGGCCTCTACTAGACAGTGTCGATCTCGAAGGGACTGCCACGTCTGCATACACCGACAGCCAAAGGGCGGAGCAGACACCCTTCTCATCCCTGGAAAGGGATGAGGCCGTCATGGTTCCCGAAGCTGACGAGTGCCTCGGACCCGCTTCGTCTTCTGGTGCCGAGGAGGACGGTGTCGCCGCCGCTGATATGCCCAGTGATGCGGCGCCGGCCGAGGGCGCTGTGCAGCGCACGGCAGAAGGAGAGGAGGCTGAGAATGACCAGGCCTCTCCTCGGGCCGATGCAGGGCACAACGCTACGACACCTGATTCAGGGAGCGGCGGGTCGCCAGGAGAGAGCGGCGAGAGTTCTCAGGCCACAGCCTCGACAGCAGAGGGGCGAGATGAGCCGGGAGAAGTTTCAGGTGTCGAAAACGCCGATGACCGATACGAGGCCAGCAGGCCGGATGCTGCCGGCCCCAAGGAAGCGGGAGGAATCGGGGATGCCAGCGCGCCAGGACAGCAGCAGGGCCGTGCCGATGCTGGGGAGGTGGCGCCGCTGCCATCGGACGACAATCCGGCGAGCACGACGGAAGAAGTTGAGCCGGCACAGGCCGATGCCGAGCCCACCGCTACGGGCGGCGCATCCGGCGCAAGGGTAGAGGCCGACACGGAGGCGGAGGAGGCGGAGGAAGCGGAAGAGTGCCAGGTCGATGGCAACGTCAGCCGATGGGAGTATGCGGGCTCATCTTCGACACACGACGCCACGCCCCGGGCACCGCCCAGCGACGGGCACTCTGACGTGGACTTTGACCACTCTCTTACCGGCGCGGGAGCCATGCACGTGAGCATCGACTACGAGCTCCTCGAGAAGAGGGGATTAGACGATGATTTCCAAGTGATTGGACGGTCCGAGGTGGCCACCTTGTGACGGTTTCTCGGACGACGACGGCCGACGACGTCGAAGTACAGGACGCTCATTCCCCTCTCTCTCATCTTCCTTCTTCTTTCATTTCCTTTTCTTTCCTGTTTCAATCTTCTCCTCTGACCTTTTCTTCTTCTTCCCCCCCCTCACTTTCCTTTGTAATTGGGTGGCAATGATTGAAAATGCAATTTGTATACACGCATGAGCGGATATAGCAAAGGAGGCTTTATTCCAATACTGCCCTCTTGAAGGTTATACATGGGATTCAAGGCGGCGTTTTTTCTTCTTCTTCTCGCAGAGACCCAGGACGTAAATGAGAGGTGGAACTGTCTTGGGACAGTCGAGGCGCCATGATTTGGAATGTACAGAGACCGAAGTGCAAGAAGAATAGGCACACAGCACGTAGGTATGTATATATGAGAGCATATTGACGACGAGGCGATGAGAGCACTGATATACCTGTTACCGGATCAAGTCCTCTGGCAGTGTCTGTTGCTAGACGGTAGATAGACTGTGGCAGCAATACTACGTTCTGTAGTGGTAGGATCGTAGAATCCGGATACAACGTACGTATCAACAAGTTTTCTTGTCTTTCATGGCACACGTCGGCTAGTTAGCGTCATGTCGGCTGATTGGCCAGTCGAGTGCTCCCAGCGGGAAAGAGTGGGAATGCCGGAGGGTGGCTGCATCCAAGACTCGCCTGGCTTGGTTTCACCACGGCGATGGGGGGGGCTTGGGATGGCCGGTTATGGCAATGCGAATGTGGCTCACAGAACTTGCAGGATACATGTATATATGTATACTTCGGCATGTAATCTGTACAGATACTCTCGCAGTGTAGAAGAAGAAAAAAAGAAGGAAAAAAAAAAAAAAAAAAGGAGTGGACTGTGGTGGAGAGAAGCGGAGAAGGCGAGAGGCTGAGAGAGTCGAGAGTACGGAGTACCGATAAGTTACTGTCAGTTATAGTAGCTTAGTAATATTCCGTGGTACTCGTGAGTGATAAGTAGCTCTAGTGAGGTGATGGAGAGAATGCATTACTTCTATTCTGCCACGTGATCTGCCGGGATGAGCTAGTAACTTGTAATCTGTACAGATTAGTAACTAGCTTGTAGCTCGGTGGGGAGGGGAACCCTCGTTCCGGGTTTCTGTTGGGGTGTGGGGGGCTAAGCATGTACAGTTGCAGATACATTGTGCCTTCCGTTCAAGATGTTCGAAGTGGAAGAGAGTCGTAATTACGGTAGGGAGAGAGAGAGTTGATAGATGGGGAGGGGGGGAAAGAAAAAGAAGAAAAATCGAATGGTTTTTCTGCATGTGATGTGAGCCGAGGTCTGTCTCTCTCTTTCTTTTTTCTCTCCCTTTTTTTCGGTGTCTGTCCCCCGGGTCAGGTAGTTTTTCTCTGCCTCTTCCCCATTAAGTTGTTGTCGTAGCTGTTGTTGTTGTTGAGGAGGAGGAGGAGGAGGGGGAGAAGAGGAGGGGATTGCGTCATTGTATGATTTGGCCTGGTTTTATTAGTGTGTGTGATGGCAGGATCGGAATGGCAGATTGACGGGTAGAGAAGGAGAAGAATGATGGGATGCCGAGGAGTATCGTACGAGTGTTGCAAACACACACACACACATACACACACACACACACATATATATATATATTTATTATATACAGATTATATGTACGGAGTATCCGAAGGGATCAAGACCACGAGCATCCACCGGCTATCTCATGAATCAGGATCGTCCCTCTCCGTCTACGGATTACCGGTAATCAGTGCTACGCCGCCGCAGAGGATGTAATCGGGAATATAGGCCAGGTACTAGTGAGTGCATGAGGCGTAGCCTGACGTCTCTGGCCACGCCGGACCAGCCAAGGCTGACCAATGGGATGAGCTGGATTATCCGCTGCTCAGCCGGGGTCCAGCTAACAGCTAGCTTCACGTGTAATCTGCAATAGAGTGAGAGTGAGTGGTATGCGCCTGGAGGCTGGCACTCGACAAGGCCCGTTTGGTGGGTGGTTGGTTAGTTGTGACTCTCCCTCGTAGGAGGAGGCTAGGGAAGCTACATAACAGATGCGCTTGTGCGGGTATCAGTGGCAAGGTTCTGGCAGCTGTGGGAGAGTACGGGACTGGAAATTCGCTGAGACCCCTGGACCACGAAACGGTGACGAAGAAGCCGAATGCGTGGGGACCAGGTGGGTCCGACAAGCCCAAAAAACTTTGTTGGGGATGATGTTGAGAGGTACAGATCAGTGACGGAGGAGGAGGAGGAGGAGGAGGAAGTTTGGACCTTTTTTTCTTTTTCCTTTTCTTCTTCTTTCTTTCTCTTCTTCTCTTCTCAGTCCTCTTTTCTATGTATACTCGTGATGCATGTGTAGTATGCTGGAACAGGTTCGGAAGCAATGCCTGGATCAGGCCAACGTACCATCAGGGCTCATAAAGTGACCGTTTCGTGTACGGGGTAATATGTAAGATACTGTATGGCGAATGCTGGGGGGATGTTGGGGATGGGGGTTAGAATGGGGGGAGGGGGGGGGGGGGGGGGGGGGGGGTTGGTCTGAGTCTGCCGAGGAATGATCTGATATCAAGCGGACCGTCCATGTAGGTAGGGATGGATATACGAGTACAGGTAGAGTCCGTACTGTGGCGATGTACAGATCTGTACGAAGTATCGGGATGGATGTCTACATGTATTCGTGTATTGATATATATATATGCATGTACAGATTACTCGTGTACACCTTGATCCGACATGCCGTCATCATGTACATGTAGACGGAGAAGCCATGAGGGGTCAGAGAAGAGGTCATGGAGAGAGAGAGAGAGAGGGAAGACAAGAGAAGACAAGAGAGAGAAGACACGAGAGAGGGCAGTCGTAATACTCTGCATCTGTCCGGGAAGGTGCGAGTAATCATACGCGTGTATAGCAGGAAAGAGCGATGGACATTCCCATCATGACCAAGAGTCCGTTTCTCTATTTCTTCCTTCTTCTTCGAAATCAACATCAAGAGATACGGGAATGATCAAGAACAGGCACCGGCCATCACGGTGTGCTCCTACGAGCATCCGTACAGCAGGCATCACTCTCGCACTCGCACACAATATACGCTCGTACACACAGACGGCGAAGAAGAGACAAGACACAGTGCAGTCTCGAGGCTTGACCCCTCCCCCCTCCCC